ATCAATTTGATATTGAGAATCGATTGTTCACTTACCCATAATTATACCCAATTGAATACAGCAAAATTCTTATGATTATTATTTTCATACGTCGACTCAGATATTTCTTCAGTTTGAGTCTCAATGCCTTTGCCCAGCTCAACTGATGATCTCAGAGAGGGCAGAGGCCCTTGTCCCTGATTCAATGCGAAAAGATATTTTTGGCGCATCAAGTTGCAGCTCGTTTGGCCAACTGTGAATGGCCCGGCCCCAGTTGGCATCAATGAGCTGGACAGATATTCATTATTAATCGCTGGCAATCGGAATGCAGGTTTTTGCTTGAACAAGGACGCCTTAGGGGACAGTATCCTAATTTCGTATATCAGTTTCAATAATTCAATAATTCACAAATAGCAGCACAAATTTAGCTGGAATTTCGGAGAACTGAGTAAGGTTAAGGAACTATATTTAAATCAGATCAATATACAATATATACATATATTCATAGATATATAAATATGTATATAACTGACTAGCCTAGACTTATTTCGATACGATTTGCAGCAAGTGCTTTAGAGCCATGCAAGCATTTTCCAGCAAATTAATTATGGATAATTAATGAACAGCAGCTGTTATTGTTGTTATTGGCCTTTGCTGCTGTTTATGGCCAGCTACTCGGGTGGCACTTGACTGATTTTATAGCGCGGCTATAAAAACCTCAATTAGATTGAACGTAAGCCCCATAAAAACCGCAGCAACAGCAACAGCAGCAACAGCAGCAGCAGCAGCAGCAGCAGCTCTAATCAGTTAACTCAACTACCCCTGCCCCTCTCTCGCTGGCTGGTATGGCACTAATTGAAATAATTGAAACATTAGCACAACTTGATTGGGGGCGTGGCACACGTGATTGACTCCCAGCCATAGGTAGCCGCATCAATTGTTGCGGCTTATGTCGGTCCACGCCCACAGCAATCACGCCGGGCCACGCCACTCCAGCTGCATTTCTCTTTCGCCCCTCGTTCGTTAGTCGAAGCAATTAAAGAGCCGCTCAACCCACTTAGCTCAGAAATGTGCCGCCCACTTTGCCCACACAATGCGTAATCCGTGAGCTGGGCACGTTGGCCAACGGGCGGAGCATTGCATTGGATTGCACTGAGTCGCCCTCTGCTGCAGCTACAGCCATAAATGCGGGATTGGCATTAGTCACGTCGATTCATTTCTGGGTTCCATTCATAGATTTTCGAGGAAAACTCCATTCACCCAGAGCTGAGCGGAAAAGTAGTTCAAATAATGCAAATTCCTTGTTTAGTTGCCAGAGCAACCCCTTTGATGGGAACTGGAACTTGGAAGATACATGAGCAAAACTCGTAATTGTTGCATCATGAACAACAACAATTTTTCAGATTTCCTTACTACTCAGTGTACAGATAACATCTTATTTAAGGCTGCTTTTCAAAGCCTAGAAACTGCTAAAAGAAAATGTGTAATCGATTGAAATTACATCAAATGAATGGAATGGCAATCGGATTAGAAAAGAAGCGTGCTCTAGTCGGGAGTGCCTGACTAATAGATACCTCGAACTCGAACTCTGCTTTAAGTTGATATTCCAATCAGAAGCATTAAAAATACATTTAAAACGTAATTTAAATTTATTCAATATGTAATTTCGTTTGATTTGTATATACATATATTGTTGATTATAGTAATAATAATAATAATAATGAAAAGGAATAATGATTATGTATGTAAATACTTATTGTGAATACCCTACGCCTCTATCAAGAATTGCCCCTCCCCCAAGAGCGGATATCCACTGTTAATAGCATCAAATGACTGTGTTAGCAAATGAACCTATTTCTGTTAATGAAGTCTAGCATTAGATTTTTACACAGAACCTATTAAAAACGGGACTGGAGTTAAGTTTTATTAGATTCATTATATACAAATTTTAATTTTTAAATTTATAAATCATTTTTTTTATATTTTTGTTGTCCTCCAGCGTCATGCATCATGCATAAGAATTTCGAGTATTTTGTATTTATTTTATTCATTATTTATTAGATCTAAAAGGTATATCAATGCTGCTTTCGACCATGCATAAACAATCTATTAACTGAACCCTACACTGTACTACTATGTTTATGGTTATACATATTTAATTCTACATTGAGCTCAATCATCGCGATTGGGATTCACATTGGCATAGCCATTCAATGTGTGAGTGTATTCAATGCCGAAATTCATTTATGTGCGATGAATAAATTATAAAGAGCCAATTTACAGCTTCTTCATAATTGTTGACGAGCAACGCATTCCTAAGGCTGCTATCTATGTACATACATATGTATGTCTATCGATTTGAGCTCTATTAGGGCAAAAAGAGTGAATGAATGGGTGCTGAATGCTGGAAAGTTGATTTATGTTGAGCATTTTAAGCTGTTTTGATTTATAGCTTCTTGGCCAATTGCTTTGTGGCAAAACGGTTTATGGCTCGGCCGGCCAAATAAAAGAGCTCTTATCCCAAAGACAACGAACCCACTCAAGACTTCAGCGCAGTCATTGTGGGGCAAGCGGCCATGAAATTGAATTTCCTTAAAGCTTTTCGCTGTGGCCTCTTAGCTGGTGGAGTGGAACAGGGCCAACGGCCGTTTTCATCAATCAATTCAACGCCTAAGCAACAGCTGAAAATCGATCAAATCCGTTAAATAACATTCTACTTAACCCACTTCTTCTATAGGGGAAACCTACTCGCTCGATAACTGAAACTAATCGATGTTATTTCTTCACTGCAATGATAAACGATAGTTGCAATGAGATAAAAGTTCTGATTACATGTGGATGATCTGCATATGGATTGCTTCCATTTGAAACATTACTATATTTTGATTCAATTCCCATTAATCATGCTTTCATCTCCCAGTATTAACAGAATTTTCTCTATTGAAATAGAAGCCAACTATATGATGTAGATTAATGTCTAATGACTCAGTATGTTAAGTAGCTAGGGTATTCACATAACGGTATATACACTTTATATTTTGCTCAACCGCTAGCTAGTCTCTTATATATCCAAGTCTATTAATAGGAATCCAAACTTTGCTTTAAAGCAAAACAGAAAAGACTACATCAAGTGCAGTTACCAATTCAAATGTAATCTTTTGTGAAACATAAAGAGTTGCAGGAAAGTTAACTTTTTGGATAAAACCCACTTACATCCATTGGAAATGAGTTATTGAATATCTGCCGTTTATGGGCTTATGGCTTTGTTGGCAACGGCAAAAGTTGTCAATGATGGCAAATCGAGTTAAAAAGTTGCTCGAGGACAGCTCAGACTCTAATAGCTCCGGCAGATAGAGAGAGAAAAGTATGAAAAATAAACGTTGTTTTGCACTGCTATGCACATTTAAGGTAAATTTAAAACGGTTTCCTGGCACCTGTCCTCTGTCCCATGAGGTAAAATAGCAGAGCCTAGTTCTCCTGCTGAGACTCAATTAAATTGCAAACATTAAAGATAAAATATACACAGCGAAATCTAAATTTTATGTAAATTGCAAGATTTGTGCAAAACGTTAAGGGAATTTCGGGTGCTACTCTCAGCTAATTATACTCAGTGCCAAAATTATACACGATTCATAGCCACAGCATGTGAACTGTAAATAACTTCAGTCATTTCGGGAATTCAAGTGATATATTTATGCCATAAATAGCTAAAGACTCAAATTATTTTTGGTAAGGAAGAAGAAGTTGACAAATGTTCGGATCTTGTTTATGGAAAATCATCAGGAGGAACATCCTATAGAAATGAATACAGCTAGTATCTCTATAGATCTACAGCTGCTTAAAAAATTCACCATATAAATTATTATTATATATGTATATGTCATATATATTTTTATATATTTATTATATATTTATTATATCACAAATATTATATGACGAAGTCATATAAAAAAATTAAATTATAATTTTTTTAAATTAAATAACTAAAATAACTAAATTTAGTTGAATATAATTTAATTAGTTAATTTTTTGTGCTATTTAAAATCGTTTAATAACACATTTAATTTTTAAAATGATTCTTACGCTACAAATATATTTAATTATTTATTTCTTCTAATTGTAAATTGTATTAAATTGTTGAGGGTCTTCTGGGTAAATAAAGTACATCTAGGGATATCTGTGTTTATATATTTCGCTCTCCAAGTCGAAGACGAACTATTTGCTAGTTATAATCTGGCTTTACGACTACCGGCACATGGATTCAGAGCCCTGCCAGACTTCGCCTCGCACTTTATGCATGATCAAATAGAATATTTGCCTCGATTCTTAGCACGTATTGCAATATTACATCTAGTGATGGCACGATTAATCATATGATGTCCATTAATCGATTATTTTGCTTCGATTTGCAATTTAATTGTATCGCAAAACGGGCTTTAATGGCAATTTGCATCCCTGGCTCTGGGTCTAATACTTTTTGTCTCGAAATAACATCTTCCCGTAGCACCTTTGGGAGCATTATATTATAATTTTGGCATTGCTCATTACGACACGCCGCATACCGCATGCCGCATGCCGCGCTACGGGCCGTGTCGATCAGCCGATGTTTTATTTGAGTATGCAAATGTAATAAAACTTTGCCTGTGATGCGGCCATCAGGAGTATGCTTGACCGCGATTTCACGGAACGAATGAAATGAATTAATTAAATTTTGCATATTATCTCGATGGCCATCAATACATTTAATGCGAGGCCAATTCATTAAATTTGAGCACCCATTGAATTGAGCTTTTTATTAAGCTTATCAAGAGGCCTACTCACAATTGAAAAAAAAAAAAAAATTGAATCACGCATATGTATATTTGTATCTTTATCTACACCTGTATCTGCATCTACATCTGCATCTATTTATCTACACCTACTGCAACTTTTATAAATAAAAACAAATTGCGCTTGATTGTCTTTTGCAGGCATTTCATTCACGGCCAGCAAGCAGATACTTGCCCCATCCTCCGCTCCGGGACCGTGCTGCGCTCACATTGAAGGCGTGGCTATGGGGCCGTGCTGCATGTGTAACATCCACACACGTACATTGAAGGCCTGATCAGAATTGCATGGAAAACAAAGCCGAGGCGCTAGACCGATAATAACAGCAGGCACAGCAGAAGCGCTAGGGGCTTGAGGTAATTAACACACATTGCGGGCTCTATTACAAGTGGGCGTGGCAATGGTCGTGATCAGGCAACGCCTGGCCGCCGCGCTGACTCTGACCATGCTAATTAGCTTCTGGCCGGCCGGCGGCCATGGGACAGCCGCCATTGAGTGCGCCGAATGGCTCAGCGCCAGCGAGTGCAACAATGGCACTGCCCTCAACAAGAACAGCAACAACAACAACAACAACAACAATCAGATTGGAAACAACAGCAGCAACTATATGCTTGGCAGCTCGGCACTGGACCACCTAAATAGTTCAATGCATCCGGACAATCTGCTGGAAATGGATTTGGAGCGAGACGGCGAGATTTGGCCACTGGAGCGTGTTGTGTCCATCATTGTGCCGGTGTTTTTTGGCATCATTGGCTTCGCCGGACTCCTGGGCAATGCGCTCGTCATATTGGGTAAGTCTGTTTGCCTTTTAACGGCCGCGCCGTAATCGCAATCGCCGCAGCCATTGCCTCCCACTGCCGGCAAGCCCATCTATTGTCCTTCTGCTGATGGCCAAGTGCCAATAAAAGTGCCGCGACCCCCGAAGTCGTTACATCAGCGAGCCCAGCTCGATGGCGTTGGCCCAATTGCCCGTCGACTCGAGCCAAATTATGCGTAATAATTGCAAATATTCTGGGCAATCTTCGCTTTTAATATGCCATAACGCCAGAAAGGCAGCTAATTGATTTTTTATACGCCCCAGATGTCTCTAGAATGGCCGTAGCCCCAACCAGGGCCGGCCCGCTGCAACTTTACGCCCAACACATTTGCCATGTTGCAGCAACAAAAATTTGTTGCATTTGCCGCTTTACGTTCGCAGTTTTAGTGCCCTTCACGGATCGACTCGGACATAAAATACAAAGAAATCCGTCTTCCCTTTGCAAACACCATAATAGCTGATGGACGGCAATCGGAGTATGCATTCAGAGAGAAGGAATGTGTTGGCTTGGGCAGTTGCTTGAGTTGGGATCAGAGACATTGAGTTCAGTAACTGCATTCGACTTCAAGCCGACCTCATAAAACAGAATGAATTTGGAGTGCATTAGATCATAACATTACCAGTAGCATATTATCATATCATATTATATCATTATCATATTATCATTATTAGCATAAATTTCTATACCCCGAACGTATAAGATCTAAAATCTCAGGTCATCAATTGGTTTTGTGAATACTTGGAATAGGCAAAAAGTGGCGTGTGGTTGTACCTCAGATACTTCCTCTATTTCTTCCAAAAGTGGCACACAATAGAGTAATTCTTCAAATAATAAAAACATATTGTCATATTGTCACCCATTAAATTCTACACCTATCTTATTTTAAGGGTCCCAATTGAACATTTTAGGCAGGGGCACTCTAAACAGTTTATTTGAGTAAACTCTTAATTCAATATTAATGAATATTTCAAGCTAAAAATACGTTTAGCACATAAGTCAACATATTCTAAAATTAGGCCAACAGATTGAACACCTTTTCTATGTATAATCAGACGTACTTAGCCATACTCTAATTTGCTCAACAATGTTTGCTTTTTATGAGTCATGTAACTACTTGGAACTACCATCCTAGTCAAACACTAATTCCCGTCAGTATTTACATTGTATCGGGGCAGTTTCATTTGTATGCACGAGCAGTCCCCACTCTAAATGAAAAACCAAATTTCAGGACTAGTTTCTGTCCACAACAGCAGCAGCAGCAGCAGCAGTGGCAAAAAAACTTGTATACGAGGGCAGTATGATAAGCTAGCAACGTTATTACACGTATTAATCATGTTAAACACGACAGAAAGCAGAGCAAAGTGTAAGTCTTAGTCATTAGATATAAGGAAAACTATTCTATTAATGTAAAGGCGTGTTTAATCGATACAGAATGGACTAGAAATGTGGTAAAGAAGGGAACGTTAGGAACGGATGGCTGGTGATGGCTCGATTAATCATATGATGATCGATGTAATTGTATCGCGAAGTGGGCTGCGATTGATTATAATCATAATCGATAATTCCATACAATAAAATAAGATTAAGTCGATTTCTAGAGTATTTTCGAGGAAAAGCTTCAGACACTTCAGTGCGAGGCGCTCTTATCTTTAGAGAAGTTCCAACTGATTCGGAAAAGAAGAAAGAAGTTCAAATTTCTAGTCGAGAGAGCATGGCTAAGGAATACCTGCAAGGCCAACCAATCTATGCTGAAAGAGAGATCTTTATCGAGTAGAGACTCTAATAAATGCACTGCATACATACGAATACTTGCACTCATATATACGTATATATATATATATATATATAGACATGTATACTGTACGTATTGAGCGTATGAATTTCAAATTAGAAGAAGAGCACAGCAAACATTTCTGGTAGAGTGAGAAATATTAAAATGAAATCAGCCGCTGATAATTAAAGCACAATTCAAATGCAATTTCCATTTGCTTTAATAGTCGAATAAAATTAATGGTTAATTCCAAGAAAAATGCACTCATTTGAATGCATGCATGCGTGTCCATGCATGGGGAGAATGCGCTGGCTTGACTCTGATTGTCACGTGGTTTCGCCCATTCAACCACACGGTTTCTTTGATAACTTTTGTGTTGCCGAGCGAGCTTCAATTAAATTTTGCAGCAATTGATGCACGTAGTCCATTTTTGTACATATTTACTGTCTATTCGCAAATGAACTTCAATTCATATGAATGTCTGCATAGAAGAAAAATGCAAGCTGTGTAAAACTCGCATGCAGCTGTGCGAGATATAATTGAATAATGGAAATTCAAATTCGACAACGTTTCAAATCGATTTCATGGGCAAAACTATGATTGAAACTAATTTGATTTGAGCATGCAATATGGGGATTTCAAGATTGAAACGGCTATACCGACGGACCGCTGAGAGAGCAAGGCCAAGTCCATTTAGCTGGAAGTCCTAATCAAATATACACTATATACTACTCTGTGAACTCGACACATTAAACATAATACCTCCCTCTTTTTAAAGGGTTCATTAAGCTTAATGAAAAATGTAGCTTTCTGCGAAATAAAACTAATTCATTTTATTTGGAAAATTAAAGACTTACATTTCTATTTAAATGAAATAAACTCGAAATGCAGAGCGCTCTTCCAGCTGACAATAGTTCCGTTCATCAATTTAAGCAGTCACAAGCTGAATTACCTCATTAAAATTACCTAGGGAACTAGTTCATTAAAAGTAACTGGTGAACTTGTTCAGGGATCTATGAAAGGTGCAGTCTAATTGAGAAAAGTCACGAGTTCAATTAAACATTTCATTGCAATGAACTAGTGAACTTGTTCGGGGAATCGCGAACGCTACAGTCACGTACTCAAAGATTTCAATAAAATGAACGAATGAGCTTGTTCAGTAATACACTCCGATGCCGTATACTCCTTTCTCACCCATTCAACCAGGTAGAAACAATTTGTTCAGCAGTTTCGCAATTCATTCAGCATCCCTAATGAAGTGTTTCAATATAATTTACCGAATCAATTTGCTCTTCACATTGAACTAGAGTTCATATCAATGCTCTGCTAAAATTCACTGGGTATTGGATGTGTTGAATAGACAGGGCGAGTCGCATTTGCATTGCCAGCGGTTGGGCCGCTCAGACCGAAGCTGTGCAAAGGATTATGTTCATATTGACCAACACTGGCCGCGTCCAAATTTACGCTTGAGTGGCCAATTGCGTATTTCTAACACGATTTTCCATGTGGCAGCTACAAATTTCGCATGCCCCGCTCACTGTTGCCAGCTGCTTCTGGCCAACATCAGATGGCTTTTGGTCAAGGAGAGGGAGAGAGAGAGAGAGAGAAGGTCCGCTGTAACGCAAATTGAAGTGACAATGAGTCAACGCAGACTTCAGTCTTCGCCTTTCCTTTTGCTGATATTTTCATAAATAACGCCGAGGCAACAATATATATTCATTGCCTCCCTTCATTCTATTTCCTTGGACTCTGCTTCTCTTCTGCCCCAAAATTGGTCCTGACAGATGTCAGAATTTGTGGGTTTTGCCGTTAGTCAAACGTTATCCCAATTGCGCTGCTGTCAGTTCCTTCAGGCCCTTACATATGTGTCACAGCATGCTAAGCCGAGGAACTACCAGTCATTTCATATGCCACTCAATCTAAAGGGTATCACAATATCTGTCAGCAATACCACATAATATATATGCATTGCAATTGTGGGAATCGAATTGGATAACTTTGGAAATATCGCATGAATTATATGATGATTGCCCACTCATTCAACAATCGTGGCATCAGTTGCATCAGTTTTGGAATAATATTTCATTTATTAAATTGAATTTATATAGACTCATTCATGACTCTTGAAGGCCAATGGGAAATTATCACTTGTTTCACTTGGAAATTTGTCTAGCCCCACTTAAAGCGAACTTCAATTTGCATAGCTTTGGCCTGCTGCTTGCAAGAGCTTGAAAATGCTATAATAGGAGAGCTGCTATGACTATGCATCGCATTAGGGTCTGTAAAATTGCCATAAAATGCAGAGCAGAGGCATTAATTTAATGCTTAAAGCGCGGCGAGTCAAGTGCAGACACCGAAGTGGCTACTGATGCAGTCGTTTGCTTGGCTGGCACTTTGACAAATTATCTATCCATAAGCCATAAACACACTTATGCACTCCCGCAACCCAGTCAGCAAAATCACTGCTCACACACACACACACACGCACACACACACACACACACATAGATAAGTAAGGAGAACGAGGCCTGAGCAAGCGACTCTAATTTTTCTCATAATTTGCAATGAAACTCACACGTTCATTTACAAATCATTTATCAAAATAACGCCCAAGAGCTGACAAAGTGCCTTTCAGCACGCAGGCCAAAGATAGCAGGAGACGGGAAGAGGGCTACGGCAGAGCTCGGCGCCAGCAAATGAATGTACGTGTAAATTTGAAAGATTGTCTGTATCGAGCAGGTGAATTTATTTCGAAATGCTCGATCAAACTGACATAATCTGCCCAAGAAAGCTAAGGAAACTAAAGCTGAGCTGAAAACTTTAATAATACGTCTCAACGGAGGATCGTATAGGGGCATACCTCTCAGAATCGTTAAGTATCGTGTTAAGTACTCAAATCAGCTTGAAGAACCCCTCAATTCCGCTCAGGATAGTCCAGTGTAGTACCTTAAAGAGCAGAAAAAATATAAGAGCTCACGGCAGGGAATCAGGCTCTGAGCATTCACATCTTCCAGATCAGAGAGCAAAACAACTAGCGACAGCTACTAGAACTAGTAAGAGTTTTAGCTCACAGTTCCAGATGTGATGCACAAATAGAGTATACTTAACAGACTTCCGGTTAAGTCGGAACTATGTGTTCTGCCTGATGAGTGGAAATATTATGCTTACTCTTTGAATGTAAAGTGACAAGCGTATCATCTTA